GATAATTTTCTTTAAGCTGCGAATTAAATAAACACCGTTAGAAATATCAATAGTAATAGTAATAGTAATAGTAGTAGTAGTAAACGATGATAAAGAAGGGAAGTGTAAGAGACAAGAAAATAAAAGAATAAGAATAAGAAAAAAAAAAGAAAAGAAACAAGGAGAGTAGGATCGATGTAATTGCTTTGCTTGCAATTTAATGGTCCACTCCGTAATCGTAATAGTAGTAGTAGTAGTAGTAGTAGTAGTAGTAGTCGCGGCTACTCTTATTTATATCCTTATTCCTTATTTCAACTCGACAAGAGTAAGTAGTAGTTCCCGTTCCGTTCTTCCTTACTATCTCATTCTAACCTAACACCGATTTCTCGCTTTAGCGAATACAAAAAGTCACGAAGAAGAAGAAGCAGAATAAGAAGAGTAGTACAAATAGGAGTAAGAAGAAGAATAAGAGGAGTAAAAAGTGGTGCAGAAAGAGGAGTAAGAGGAGTAAGAGTAGAAGGAGGCTTTCTTTCTTCATGAAAATTGAACGAACAATTTGTAAGCCGCTCTAAGATGGATATTAAGTCGAATCGATAACGCGAGACCCGTTATTTCGTATTAGAATAATGACAGGGCTTCGTGCACCTTGAGACTTCCTCGGTTAGGCCCATCCCCACCCTCTCCCACCTCCACAATCCCTCACCCACTTTTTTTTCTTCTTTCCTTCTCATCATCATCATCATCATCATCATCATCTTCTTCTACTTCTACTTTTACTACGTCTACTTTTAGGATTCATGTAAACGCTTGCAAAAGCCATACCACAAAACTTCTCTCCCGTTGTGAAAGCTTTTTGGTAAGGGTTCCGTTTCGGTTGGTTGGTATTGGTATAGATACCATGAACGATACTCGTAATCGAGCACGATAGCACGATCGATGATTAAATTATACCCTCGCGTGTATACATTCGCCTAACTGCCATTGCCATCTCTCTAATATCGAGACACCAATATACCACCATATCTATCATCTTCCTTCCTTCCTTCCTTCCTTCCTTCCTTCCCCCTTTCCAGCCCCCTCCTCTCACTCTCTCTCTCTTTCTCTTTCTCTCTTTCTCTGTTTATTTCTCTTTCGTTAAAGTCTCGTAGAAATTCTCACCGAGTGAAAATCACTATGGTTTATTAACGGCTTTTATCACGAAAATGAATGGGCCAAGTTAAATGCTCTCGAACCTGCTGCCAAACTCGCGATTACTATACCCTCTCATTTAAATGACGTTCGATTAGTCTCTATTTCATGGGATCTAATCCAAATTACTTTTCTTTTTTTTGTTTTCCAATTACGAATGTAAACGAGAAAATCTGAGATTAATTTTATTTCTTTTTTTGTCACGTTGGATAAAGTAAAATTTATAAAAAAGTATAAAGGAATATATCGCGTTTTATATATTATTATTATTATTATTATTATTATTTGTAATTATAGTTAGAATTGTCAATTTAATGAACGTTTTCGAACAGTTATCTTCCTATTCGAGTTAGTTTCCTAAGATTTGTATTTTTTTTTGTTTTTTCCCAATACAATTGAAGAGAAATTAAGGGTAGGTGGTTCTTTTTACGTATGTACCTAACCTCCAAATT